GCTTCTTTTTATTTATTTATTGACCATCTTTTCTTTCCTTAGAAAATTTCTTATACATTTCATTGAGGGCCAGGGAGATGGCTCAGTAGAATATGCCCTTGCCTGGCAAGTGCAAGAGCCTGAGTTTAATCCCTGGTTCCACCAAAAAAATAAAAATAAAAATAAATTAAAAATAAATAAACTTTGAGTTAATCTTAAAGACTGGGTGTGGTGGCATGCGCCTGTAATCCCAGCTCTTAGGAGGCTGTAAACTGGCAGATCACTATAAGTCCAATCTAGTAGTGAGACCCAAAACACTCTGTAGACCCTTCCCTAAAAAAAATACAAAAAAGAAAACAAATAAACAAACAAAAACATATTTCATTCAATTTTTCATTTTCATTGTTTAAATTTTTATTTTTGTTTAGGAGTGCTTTATGAATTTTAGACTTCTATTAGATTTAATTAAATTTAGAGATTGATGCAGAATAAAATATTTCCATCCAGGAACATACTACATTCATCACGGTAAAATTTTAGAGCTCTCAGTGATAACACACAGCCCCCCAGCATGCAAACCTGACATTCGCTGCCACTGCATGCCTTCCTGTTCCCTTGGCAAATTTGTTGTAGCTTGTACATTTCTGATTTGTGTTATGTAACAAAGTCATTTCTACTGTTAATTGATATAAATGAAATAATTCTTCAATTAGAAATTTAGTGGTGGGCTGGGGAGACAGCTCCGCCGCGTAAGCACCTGTTGGGCAAGTGCAAGGTCCCAAGTTTGATCCCCAGTACTGCATGCCTTGCCTGCCCCCAAACCAGGTGTGATTGTGCATGCCTCTAATCCCAGCACTGGGGAGGCTGAGGCAGGAGGATCTGAACTATGTAGTGAGACCCTGTACCATATCAATTTTTTTTTCAAAAATGTAGCAGTTTTCTCAAAGAAAAATAATAAGACAGAGATGCACCAGGGTTAGGCTCTTGGCTTATATACAAAGGAAATCAGTAGGCTGATTTATTCATTTATTTATTTTAGTTGGCTGATTTAATTTCATCTAACAAGTTAAAAGCAGATTTAAATGCTAAAGAACAATGGCAACAAGAACAACAAAAATAGAAAAACAAGGAAGGAGGGCAGATACTACAGGAAAAATAAACCTCATTGTCCTCTACTTGGGTGGCTACTGAGTCACTGACAGTCACTGTAAGTAAGTAATTTCATCTTACACAGTGTGTTGTTTACATTCTACAACAACAAAGAATTCCTGTATTCACTGTGTAATCCATCAGGAACCTAGCACATACAACACTCTAACTGTACTAAATTCTAACCCTGTGCCTCACTCTCGGGGAACAGGCTGCCCATTCTATCACCTGATCCATTCATCTATTTTGTTTAGTTTTGTAGCATGTTCTGGGGGCCACGAGTCCTCCCCTACAGCTCTCCTGGATCCAAATCTTCAATTCTAATTCTTACACAATTCTAACAACTTAAGATCAGTTCCTTATGCTCCAAGTTGGTTTTGAAAATTGTGGGGTGGCGGATGAGCAGGGAGGACACGGGGGGACTTGTCAGAGTGTCAGCCCAGCACAGTATGAACACGCACGGTGCTGTGGAGAACACACGAGAAGCTGCGTGATTTCCACTGGTGACCCAGCTGCCCAAGTCCTAACACCCCAGTCCCCAAATGCCCGCCATCAGGAGTGCCAGCTCCAGCAGGCCTGCGCTCCCCTTGCCTCTGCGTACCTGCCTGTTGTACCCTGGCTCCTGGGCAAGGAAGATGAACAGGGATGGACTGACTGGGGCTGGGAGTGTTGACCTTTAGTTTTCAAGGCTGATTATTTTGCAGTTGGGTCTGATTTGGGAAGAAACATGCTGTGAGTGACAGCTCCTTCCTCCATTCATGAGAACATCTGCTGCTGTGCAAGTTGGGTTGGTTCCTACCCTCGCCCCATGAGCATCCGCTCCCTCCTTGCTTTTTACTTAAAAGATTGCGCCGTCGCTTCTGTCCACAGTGCTATCTTGGCTTAGACAAGAGGTTCCTATGTGTATGTATGGTTTTTGTACCTGCCACATCATTTTGTCTATTCTTCTCTTTGCAGTAGGTATTCATTTTTTTCCTCTTATATTTTATTCTCAGGGGTCATTTTTTTTCTGTTAAATTTGTGAATGGTGTGAAAACACTTACCAATTTATCCTATTTTTAAAATATAATCTAATTTTTAAATGTTTTTTATCATATTATGTAGGGACTTAAAGTTCAACATATCAATACTTGATGAAAAATACCTGTTCCTTATTATGCCTAAGATGTTTGAAATGCAGTGAGATAGTGAGGTTAAGTTTGATAGCCTAAATCATTTGATAATAACAATAAGCTTGTCTTCTGGATGGTTAACAACCTAAGTTTGCAGACCAAAATTAGAGAAAAAGGAGGGCTACAAGGAAAGCCAACATTTTGGCCCTAACCTTCTAAGGTCAGTTAAGACTCAGGACATATGAGAACTTGTACTGTAACGTCATGTACCTCGGTAGTGTCCCAAATTTTCTGATCAAGAAGATTATGGGGCCAAAGAGGAAAGTGATCGATGATGTAGAGTGTGCCTAAGGAGAGTCACATGGGGAGAAGACACTCTCTCAGGCTTTCACAGAAAGCACCTTGGCCAAGCAATGGCCGTGACTCATCCACATGGCTGACACTGACAAAGGTTCTACAATCTGAGGTACAGGATCTCAGGATAAATCAAGAGGGCATTTCACTGACCTTCTCAGACCAAAAAGCTACAACTCTTGCTGCACAGGTCCTGCTTTACCTTGGTCTTAACCATACAGTAGAAAAGTATGAAGACGAAATATAGGAAGTAAAGCCATGTTGTTATGTTGAGCTGTTGGGGACTCAGGTCAATAATTTCTGACATTGCCAGTTAAACAGAAGACCCAATGCTATTATGGGCTACTGGACTCTTTTAGAATATTTTGCTCAGTTTACACACCTATAATATTCAATAACGGAACTTAGAAAAAATGGGGTATACCGATGAATGTCCATTTTGTATCTGTGTATTCAAAGTGGTTAGGATGGATGTGTAGTTGCATTCTCTTAATGAATAGAATGATTTGTTCTAGTGGTGTTTGTAAATAGGAATCTCAAGTCCGCATCTGGTACAGCAATTAACCACTAAGAAGAATATATGCAGTGTGTTATTTGTTGAAACTGTACTTCCGATTTGATTTGAAACTGTCTCATTGCTGTTTATCAATAAAATTTTGAAGAAAAAAAGATAAAAAAAAACCAAAGTGGTTAGGATAGATATATAGTTGCATTCTCTTAATGAATAGAATGATTTGTTCTAATGGTGTTTGTAAATAGGTTCTCAAGTCCGCATCTTGTACAGCATTTAACCACTAAGAATATATGCAGTGTATTATTTGTTGAAACTGTACTTCCGATTTGATTTGAAACTGTCTCATTGCTGTTTATCAATAAAATTTTGAAAAAAATAAAAAAATAAAATAAAATTGCACAACTAAAAAAAAAAAAAAAAAACACTTACCAAATGCTTTCTGCCCATGTACTGAGAAAATTCTGTCATGTTTTTAATCAAGGAATGTGGTGAAATACGTTCAATGATTTTCATGTGTTAAACAAACCTTGCTTTCTGGGTAATTTGTGAAGAAAAGGGGTTTATTTAGCTCCAGGTCCTAGAAGGCCAAGGTCATCGGGCTGGTGTCTGCTTGGCATCTGATGACGGCCTCCTGCTGGGCCAGGCATGCCCTGGCATGGCCAGGGCACCCCATGAGGAGGTGAGCAGTGGTGTCAGAGGGAGTAGCCTCTGTAACAAAGCCACTGCTGTGGTGACCCATTAACCCATGGACCCACCGACCTGGGGACAGACAGGCTCCCCTACCATCCCTGGTGGAGACTCCACTGCGGTGTGAGTTTTGGTGGGGACACCGGCATCACAACAGTTTAAAATGTGTTTCCCAAGCTATCCTTTTCCGTGTGTAAATTTGTCTTCCATCGGCTTCTTTTAGATCACTAGCCTCATTTCACTTCCCTGTCACCTCTGTGGCTACCCTGAAACACAGCACGCACCCGCACCCATGCTGTATCAGCTATCAATGCATCACTTCGTAGCTCCACATCCCCTTTGTGCTGCCAGTTACGGGAGACTGAATCTTTCTCCTTGCCAGCTGGGACAGAGGTAAACTATGTATGCAGAGGGCGCCAGAGAGGCTCCACATAAAGGAGGAATTTCTTCTCCTGAACGGTGGTGTACCATCTGCCTGCTGTGCTCCGGAAGCACAGGGTTTGTCCAGAGCGGGTTCCTTAATGGTCAGCTGAGCAGCAGCACGCAGTGGCTGGCAGCGTCCCTGGTGCCTGCCCTTGTGTGTGACTTCACCCCAGGACTCTGCACCCACGAGGTACCTCCCAGTGAGTGGCTTTCCCGGCAGTTCTAGGGTGACTTTGACCAATGGAATTGGCAGAAGCCAATGGAGGGCAATTAGCCCCTCCTGGCAAGGTTCCTTTTCTGGATTCCTTCCACGCTCAATCTTGGGAGCAGCGGAGGTGGGGGAAAGTGGTCAGATCCTGGGGACATTTTGAATGTGGAGATGATGGGATTTGCCCAGAAAGTGGGATGGAAGCGCAAAGCTGAGAGAGTTATTTGAGTAATGGAAGGGGGAGAGCAGATTGCAGAGGTGGGAGCAGGAACAAAGGGTATACAGGAGGAAGCAGAAAAGGAGGAAGGAAAACAAGGAGGTAGGAATGATGCAGGGCCCAAAAAGGTCGATGTCCTGCTTATGCCAAGGGATGGCTGGAGCTGCATGCTAGCAGGAGAGGACGCCAAAAGGAGCAGGAGAACAGACAGGGCTGGCAAGAAAACCAGCTCATGTTTTAAAATAATCTTTTATTCACAGAGCATACACATTTGAATGTATATTCTATGCATATACTTCAAATTCTTAATAACTGAATAATTTACAATATAGTATAAATCACAAAATATAATCTTCCATGACAAGCATTTCTATTTGCATAAAATCTGAGGTAAGCCATCAGATGTTAATTGGTATTGATGTTAATCAATAGGAGAGAATCAGCTTTCAGTGACCAAGTATGACAATGAAGATTTACAAGGGCAGGCAGATTGTACCTGTAGATTCTTGTATCCTCAGAATTAAAGAGGTAGGTTTTATGGTCAGAACACAGACACGAGGTTTGCTAGTCAGTAGTGTATTCTAGAATACGAAGGTGTAAATCAGAAACCTAGTTGGCAATCATGTTGCCTTAAGAATGGAACTGTATGTCCTAAATGATCATGTGGAGATCATAAACTACAGAGAAAAGAGGGCAAATTAGTTGTCTATTTCAACCATTGAAATAATGTTTTAAAGAATTTGGAAAAAAGATTACTGTTTTTTCAAGTTACAAATCATTAATTTTTTATTGATCAAAAGATTTTTATCCACAAAGCCCATTTTATTAATTAGTGTTATGTCTTTTATTAACTGAAGAACTACCTAACTTTCACAATTAATAAGCTGTGTTGAATGACAGGTTTTGTAAATGAACCAAAAGCCTGTCAGGCACAATGAAATGTGATCACTCAGGCAGCCTCTGTAGCCTCATTCTGATAAACATGTGGTTTCTACTCCCCTTAACACCCTCCAAAGCTCTTCTCAGAGCTTTCTGGGAAGCTAAAAACGGTTGAAGAACCTTTCTTGCCTGACCATTTTCATGAGCACATTGCACCTGTGTGGAATGAAGCCGTTAGCTAGACCAAAAGCTATTTTTACATTTGTCTTGAGTTTTCCTTCTCTCTGTTTCATCCTTTGGTCTTCCCTTGCTCTCTTGCTCTCCTTTCTTCTGTTTCTCTTCTAACCCATCATCCGCTCCCCTTCCTCTTCGCTTTCATTTTCATCCTAGTCCTGGAAATGTTTTCCATGGGTGGATGCACCTCTTCTTTTGTTATACTGTCTTTTCCACATCAAGCTTGTTCTAATTGGCTTCCTTAGTTCTTTTTATGGAGAGTTTAGTGTCAAATAGTTTTGGTATTTGTGTGTGTGTGTGTGTGTGTGTGTGTGTGCGTGCACGTGTGTATGTGTGTGCGTGTGTGTGTCCTGGGGATGGAGAACAAGGGCAGTGTACATACATGCTAGGCACACACTGTACCCCTGAGCTACACCCCCAGCCCTAGTAAATATCTTGGAATGTGCTGTGATTATCCACAACTGTGAGATGTTCGCATGTCTTGCAGGCACCATCTTGTCACTGGCTACTGATGTCATAAAGCAGTCTCTTTGGTGTAAGTTCTTGTATAGAAATGAAGCAGCAGTCAATTCTTAAATTTTCCCTGTTGTCTGGTGGCCCTGTGAAAGAGATGACTTGTGAGCGACAGCGTGGGTCTCCTTATAGTCCTTCTCGTTTCTTATTGCTTTGGGACATGTTTGTCTAACATCTATTTCAAGTTCTACAGATGCTTTCAGGGAAGGGAGAGGCTGGACTATGACTGGGACTCCTTGCCACGTCACCACTGGCCGCCTGTGGGTCTCATGGTGTCTGTACAGTTCATGAGGCCGTCAACTTAGCACATCTTGTCCTCTTACCATGTGCCAAGCGTTCACACCTGTGACACTTGTGACCTAGCCAAGGTCACACAGTGGATGGCAGAGCCAAACTCTGGAAGTCAGACCCAAGTGTGATGTGCCGACTCGCATGCCTCATTGCCCCTGAAGGAGGCTACTCCCACATGGACGTGAGGCCCAAACTCTGACTGGCAACTGGAGTGGTCTGTTTTGCTTGTTACCTGGCGGCCTGCCCACTTCAGCGAGACCACAGATTCCATAGACTCTAGAGAGGGTGTACTCACTCTCTGATTTATTTAGTTTTAGATTTCAGTGTTCCTAGCCCCCTGATCCCCGGGCAGGATCTATGACTAGTGTAGTTGCAGGATGCATGGCAGGGTGGACCCTGGGCCACAGGACCCTTACCTGGGAGCTCCAGTGCCACTCTAACCACAGTGCACCAGGAACAACTTCCAGTTGGGGGGTGTTAAGGGGAGTTTTATTTGAAAATGATTCCAAAACCTGTAAGAGACAGAAAACAGGGAAACATGTTTCAGAAACCTCAATGCCTATATTTTTTCTGGGATCTTTTTAGTACCTGGTACCCAGCTCTCTCTCTGCAACAGTGTTTCTGAAAACTTCCCATACCTTAGCATTTTTAGCCTCTTAGAACATTGATAGGTTCTGGCCCTAGTATAAGTTGATGAATTACTGTGGTGGTCATATAAAATGACTGAAGCCCCAAAACAACAGCTTATCTTCCCAGAAACCACCTCCTCCTTCACCCCCACCACCAGTCCTAGAAACAATTTCCTTTCACTTTTCCCACACCGCAAGGGAGACCCCATTCAGCTCTCTGGGTGTCACTAAGCCTGCCTGTCAGACTCTGCCCCTAGCAAAACTCCACATAAGACCAACAATCCTTTGTCTCAGGTAAGAGGATCTCCCCCATCTCTCTGTCATTGATCTGCTCTGTGTCTTTAGAGTTAATAAAGGTTCCCCCCACTTCTTTTACTTCTTCTCTACCACATTGTTGAAAAACCTAACAAACATGATGACCCAGTCTTGTTTTCATTGTAATATTTTGAGCCCAGCCTTAAGAAATTCTCCCTGGGGGAAAAAAATTCTAGATTCATATGTTGCATCCAAAAGCATTAGGACCTGGCATTAGGGAGCAGACAGGTAAACACGATATTCTGAAGGATGATGTGGGTGGCCTGCATCTAGCACCAGCATCCCCAGCTCCCAGGAGTTCAACCTGAGGAAATCCTTAGGAAAGTGTGCAAGAGATACTTCCATGTCCATTTGCCCAATCACTATTGCAAGTACAGAAAAGCTAGGAACAACTTAAGGCCAGCAAGATTGGTTGAGTAAAGCTGGAATATTGTTCACGGTGTCAGGTAGGCAGACATTAAAAATAATGATGTAGGAAAATATAATTATGTGGGAGATTACTATGATAAACGTGCTGGTATAAAAGCATGCACAGTATTGTTCTGTTTTTATTTTTAAAAAGTACCTATGTATGTGCTTGTAAAAGGAAAACGAAGATTAGCTAGACACTGAAGTATACATTATCCTGTCTAGGTGATAAGATTATTTGTGGTTTTAATTATGTTTGTACTTCACACATATTTTTCCAAATTTCTAAAGTAGATATATATTATTTTTTATAATGAGACAAAAGTTTAGTAACCTCACAAATTGCATTTTAAGAGCAACAAGAATAAACAGGGCTGTGACTGCTTCCCTGGATTTATTAGGGCATCCTTTTCTGTTTATGACTGTTGTTATCAAAGCACAGTGTAACAAGACCATCTTCAACAGCACTGCCATCCCTGGAATTTCTAAGATGAATTCCTTTCATAGAGAAATCTTCACAGTTCCTAAAATTTGTCACATTCTTTTTTTCTTTTTCTTTTTTTTTTTTTTTTTTTTTTTTTTTTTTCAGGACAAGACATCAGGTATGTGCTCAGCTAAAAATGAAAAAAACTTGGGGTTTTCTTTTTTGCTTTTGAAATATTTGTGGTTGACCTGTGAGTCTTAACCAAGGGATAGTGAGGAGAGACTTAGGGGTCAAAAACCGTATTTAGATTGAGACGGAATTATAACGCATCTGTCCTGGGACTGCATTAAAAAAAGTAGCAAAACGATACTGCCCACTCAATACAATTGTTTTCATTTTATTGAAAACAAACAGCCACCGAAATGCTGATGCACCTGGAAGTAGGCCAAGACAACATTGCATTTACTGTCACTAGGAGGGTGGGGCAGGAGATAGTCACCTCAGCACGGATGGAGGATGTGGCATCAACAGATGGGGTTTCCAGACAAGGCTGGGTGGAGTTGCTTACTTTGTATTTCATATATTTTTACATTCTTTGAGACGTTTAAAGTTGGGCCTGGTGACAGATAGCACTCAGGAGGCTGAGGCTGGAGGATCACCTCGAGTTCCAGGCCAACCTGGGCTACATAGTGAATTCTAAGCCAGCCTGAACTATAGAGCTACACCCTGTCCCAAACAAATAAGGAGATGGAAGCAACGCGGGGGAGACAAGAGTAACCTGGAGGTTGCAGTTACCACCATGAGCCTCCTCAAGAAGCCCTAGAATGAGATGACCCCAGAGAAGCTGCAGAAGCAGGAAGAGGAGGAACTTAACATGAGTCCACTTTCTGTGCTGACCCAGTCAATCAAGAACAACACCCAGGTGCTCATCAACTGTTGCAACAACACGAAACTCCTAGGCTGGGTGAAGGCCTTCGGCAGGCACTGCAGCATGGTGCTAGAGAACGTGAAGGAGATGTGGACTGAGGTCCCCAAGAGCAACAAGGGCAAGAAGAAGTCCAAGCCGGTCAACAAGGACCACTACATCTCCAAGATGTTCCTGCGTGGGGACTCGGTCATCGTGGTGCTGCAGAAACTGCTCATCGCTAGCAAGTAGGGGCCGCCTCCCTGCTGCCCCTTGAAGACCTGCCCTTTATCACTGTACTGATAATAAAGTACTATGTGTTTAAATAAACAAAACAAAGCAAACAAATAAGCAAAAATCCTTTTAAATATAATTTTAAAACACTCAAAAGGAAATAAATAAATATTTTAATACATGTCTGTAGTTGCAAGCTCAGGCAGATACTACACAATGAGTTTTGCTGAGATATCTTAAGTAGTTAGAACTTTTACATTAAACACCACCCATGTGGGAAGACCTGTGGTAATGTGGAGGAGTCAGTGTTAATCGCTCTCCTTTGGTAATTATTTTGCAAATATAAAAATGGAAATTGCCATCTCTGAGATTTCACTTTAAATATTCCAAATAGGATCATAAAGACTTATACAGTTAGAGGCACAAATTCAATGGGCCATTTCTTTAGAGCAACTCGACCTCCAAGGTTATGTTGGGGGTTGGCCCAGGCAACATGTGACATGGAAGACCATAGTAGTCCAGTGGCCATGGCTTTGCTATGTAAATGCCTCCTCACCCTCAGCACATACTCTTTTCCTCCCAGTACCAAGTGTCCTTGCCTTTCCTGTACCAAGTACCACATCCAGAAGTGATCAGGAACACATTTCATATGAAGTTATTTATAAATGATCCTTTTAAAACTTGTCCTTTCCTACACATTCCTCCTCTGATGCAGACTCCTATCCAGGGTGAACTTCCAGCTCCGGGGCAATAGCCACAGTTTCTGGACCTGGACCTAGACCTGGATCTGGTTCTTTAACTCCTAGAGAAGCAATGCAGGCACAGGTTGGGATGCCAGGGGTTGTCCCGGTGCCTTTAGACTGGGGAGAAGTATAGATGGCAGATCCTAAGGCTCCTGTGCCTCATGGCCCCATGACTGCTGCTGAGCTATCTCCTTGAGGACTGCTAGGAGATGCTCTCAATGACTCATGTGGAGGGACTTTGCTTTCAGGCACTGGAGAAGTGAAACCTGAGGTTATCTGGGTCCACCCCATCAGGGTCCTCCCATATACCATGCCTCTGGCCATGACAACCAAGGCCCTTCTGCACATGATATGAGAGGAGGGCCAATAGCAGATGCCAGACTGCTAACTGGAGAGCCTAGAGGACCCATGAAAGATCAAAGGGGTCTACATATGGATGGCAGAGGAGGTAGGGAGGCTCAAGGGATGGATACTTGAGTGATGGAAACTGAGGTTTTAGAGACCCGAGTAATGGAGCAAGGAAGAATGGAGACCTGCACTATGGAGACCACAGGGATGGAAGCAAGATGCATAGATGCAAGAGGATTAGAAATGCGGGGCCCTGGACCTAGTTCTAGAGGCTCTATGACTGCTGGGATCCAGGGACCGGGTCCTGTTAATATAGGGGCAGGTGGCCCTCAGGGACCTAGACAGGTCCCAAGTGTGTCAGGAGTGGGGGATCCTGGAGGCAGCAGGCAGGGGGCCGGCATTCAGGGCACAGCCAAACAGGGTGGTAGCCAGCCTGGCAGTTTTAGTCCTGGGCAGAACCGGGTAACTGTACAGGATCAAGAAAAAGCAGCCTTGATCATGCAGGTTCTCCAGCTGACTGCAAACCAGATTGCCACGCTGCCTCCAGAGCAAAGGTGGAGTATCCTGATTTTAAAAGAACAAAACCAGAAGTCCACTGGAGCTTCTTGAAAGGTTTTGGAAAGTACTTGGCTATAGTGTCAAGAAGTTAATTTCGTAGTGGAGAACATGAGTACAGAAAGTCGACTTCTGCAGCCCTGTGTTTTATTGATCGGGTTCCTTCCTAGAACCTAATCTCTTGTCTTGCGTTTTCATTATTGTCTATTTTTATTTCTAATTGAGGGTAAGGGGGAGAGAGAGTCGGTCTGTTCATTTTAAGTCACTGTAAATATGCAAAAGTAGTGCTGAATATGATTCCATTATGCCAAGTAATATAGCGTACACAGCAATATAGAAATGTCTGCAGTATGTTAATTACATCTTTAAAAAACTGAGTAAAACTGAAAACTGCACTTACAAGCTAAAAGGTGACTTGTTAAAATGTTAATGTACCAAGTTTTACAAATGTTCAGTTACATAACAAAAATTTATCTCCATTATGTAGTTTTGGTAAGCCATTCAAAATAGAAAATCCTATTTCAAAGGCATTAAATTGCAGTATTATATTAAACATTGTTTTAGTTCTCTTGGAATAATTTTGAAATGTTAAACCTGGGGATAAGTAAATTGATAGTGCTAGAATTGTTTTTTAAAAGCTATGTTACTTTAAAAAAAACAGGGAATCTATCTGGTTTGATGTTACTTCATTTATCTCGCTTTTTATGGACCGGCAATAATTCTGGCCTGAGAGGATAGTCCACGTTTAGTTAAGTTTTCTCTGAAGAGATCTTATAATCTCTCCACACCTTTCTATTGCTGAGAACTCTTCAAGCCCTATGCTTGACTCTGAGAATTCTCTCAGATCCTTGGCAAAAATCAGTGTCAAGGAACCCTTGATCTGCATGAGTTACACATGGTCTTGGCTTCTCATAAGCAGTAGGAAATATTCAATTAAGTTCCAACTTCCTGGCTACTAGCATCCATATATAAATTGTCCATTTGGCCAACTAGTGTGAGGAGTTTAAAAAATCTTAGTCTCAATATTTCATATGCCTTTTTAATGTTCATAATCGGCTTTTCTACCATTTTAGCAGAACAGTTGAGGCCTAGGTAGGTAGAGAAACCCATATAAATTCAATATTTTGTTCACTGGGCTTAGTAGTCATTTCACGTTTTACAGATAGTCTTTTAGTAGTACACACTCAGGAGATGTAGTAACAGTTATTAGGGAATGTGATGTTAGGGATTGTGACAACATTTACAAAGTTTTTTTAGAGCTACTAATTTATTTTCGAGCCTTGATATGGACACAACATTTGTATGACCAGGTAGCAACTAACAGAAGTATAAGCTCCGGAAGGCCCAGTAATCTTCCTCTGGAGAAGAAAAATCAGCATCAAGTGGCAGAGGAAAAAGTATTTAATATAAGGAGAGAGCTGAATCTTAGAAAAGGAGTTATTTTCCCTTTGTAGGGCCTTTATATTTTAAAAGGTTAATTCATTTTTTCAGTATTTCGATCCCTGTGCTGTTTCCTACTAGTTTTTACTCTTTTTTTTCCTTGTTGTTTATACTGTTAAATTCCCCACGTTTTCTGGGTTTTATCTGTACTGCGAAGGATAATTCTCCTGCACATGTGTGTGATAGTTCTGGCAAATATGTACTAATTCACAGAGTTGGTGAGCTTACTTTTAAATTGTTATTTATTTATCCCAAAGCTTTCCCTGAAGGGCTCTGTGAAAAGTATTAAATGTTATAGTAGTCTTTGTTCTGGTAAAAAAAATCTGTGAAGACTGAATAAAAAGGTTAAACATTAAAAAAAAAAAAAAAAGAAAGAAAAGAAAAGTCCTTTCCTAATAAGATTTACTTTTAAAAAAGCTAACAAAGGAATTAAATTCTAATGGGGGACTCTTATGTATCTGCTAGCACTTGGGGCACAGACTGTCACTGACTGCTTCCTACACCTGCAGTGACCTCTGCAGTGGCCCGGGGAGCGGCGATGTTCTCAGACTCACAGGTGATGGTATATGTCAGGATCCCGCTGGAGGCGCGTCTGGAATCCTATGTACAAGTCGTCCCAGAGCAGACCATTCTTCACCACATACCTGATGACATCAACCCGGCTCCGAATCTGAAACAGACAGGGAACAACCTACAGAAGGTCCTGCGCTGGTGGAGCTTAGTGAGGAATAGCCAGGAAGAAATGACATACAGGGGTCTACTGTCACCTGTGCTAAGCAGTGGCCTCAAAATGATGGACTGACCCCACACTAACTTCTCCCCTGTTTGTCCCAGATCTCAGCAGAATGTTGATGAAATGGTCATGCAGATATTAACTGTGGTCATGAGGAACAGAGGCAGGGAGTCACCACAGGAGATTCGTGTAGCTAAGTGAGTGAGGAAAGCAGTTGACAGTGGCTTGAGAGGCAGCTCTGGGCGGCAGCATCCAGAGAGATGGAGACGGATGGACCGTGGGTGGCGGCAGAGACAGATGCATGCGTGGCACCTCCAGGAACAGATGGCTTCTCGCAGCCCCACGCACACTCCCGGATGAGAGCACTCAGCCATTTCTGTGAATGAACGGATTCGGGATGGGGGAGGACAAGAGCAGCTGACGTATTTGGGAAGCTGGTAGCAAGGGTGTCCGTGGTTTACCCTTAGAAGTCCCTTGTCTTACTAGTGGGCTTCTCACTCTTGTGGCTTAAAGCTTTCAGGTGACCCCCAGACTGTCTCTTGTTTTGTAGTCTACAGAAGTAAGGTTTGCCTCATGCTGGGTATTTCACGTTGATATCTAGGTTTCCCAGGCCAGCGGGAGCTCAACGGGGTGGCCCCCTTCAGTGTTGTCTCCTCCTGTCTCAGCCCCGCGAGCTTCACTTGTCTCTGTGATTCACCACAAGCTGCTCCACAAAGCAGGGTTTCTCCCAAAGTGGAATCGGAAAACAAACTTCAGCTGTAATTAGTAGCTGGGGTTACCATGGCAATGGCCAGTGTTGTGGAGAAGGTTATAGCTCACTATTCTCTTCTCAGGGGCCACTCTGTAATGGCAGGCAAGCCAGAGATAGGCTGCCTCTGGCTGGCATTTTTTTTCTCTAGTTATGTAAGTACTTTAAATGTATGACCCTAACATGAGAAGCATAGAATTCTTTATCCTATTTTTTAAAATGTCTAATTTTTAAATGTTTTTTTATCATATTCTGTAGGGACTTAAAGTTCAACATATCAATACTTGATGAAAAATACCTGTTCCTTATTATGCCTAAGATGTTTGAAATGCAGTGAGATAGTGAGGTTAAGATTGATAGCCCAAATCGTTTGATAATAACAATAAGCTTTTCTTCTGGATGGATAACAACCTAAGTTCGCAGACCAAAATTAGAGAAAAAGGAGGGATACAAGGAAAGCCAATATTTTGGCCCTAGCCTTCTAAGGTCAATTAAGACTCAGGACATATGAGAACTTGTACTGTAACGTCATGTACCTCGGTAGTGTCCCAAATTTTCTGATCAAGAAGATTATGGGGCCAAAGAGGAAAGTGATCGATGACATAGAGTGGGCCTAAGGAGAGTCACATGGGGAGAAGACACTCTCTCAGGCTTTCACAGAGAGCACATTGGCCAAGCATTGGCCGTGACTCATCCACATGGCTGCACTGATAAAGGTTCTACAATCTGAGGTACAGGATCTCAGGACAAATCCTGAGGGCATTTCACTGACCTTCTCAGACCAAATAGCTACAACTCTTGCTGCATAGGTCCTGCTTTACCTTGGTCTTAACCATCCAGCAGAAAAGTATGAAGACGAAATTATAAGAAATAAAGCCATGCTGTTAAGTTGAGCTGTGGGGGACTCAGGTCAATAATTTCTGACATTGCCAGTTAAACAGAAGACCCAATGCTATTATGGGCTACTGGACTCTTTTAGAATATTTTGCTCAGTTTACACACCTATAATATTCAATAACGGAACTTAGAAAAAATGGGGTATACAGATGAATGTCCATTTTGTATCTGTGTATTCAAAGTGGTTGGGATAGATATATAGTTACATTCTGTTAATGAATAGAATGATTTGTTCTAATGGAGTTTGTAAATAGGATCACAAGTCCGCATCTTATACAGCAATTAACCACTAAGAAGAATATATGCAGTGTATTATTTGTTGAAAAATAAAAAAAAAATAAATAAATAAAAATGTATGACCCTGCCTTCAAAGAAAAATCCCATGAACTGCAAAACCCCAATTTTCTAAGATTCATAAATCAAGTAGTAAATTATTGGCTTTACTGAAATTTCAACAACATTCTCCTCAAGAGCAAGTACTGTATAACACATAAAAATGTGAGTAAACTTATTAAAAAACATTTAAAGAGGATTCCTATTATGTCTGCTATAGGACATAATGGGGCTGGACATACTTAGGTGGCTGAAACAGTAAACTGAAGGACATTCAAGTTGACTTGAACGATTCTTTTTTTTTTTTTTTTTTTCAGAACTGGGGATTGAACTCAGGCCCTTGTGCTTGCCAGGGAAGTATTCATTCCACTGAGCCATGTCCCTAGCCCTGACTTGAATGATTCTTTTGGAGTTTAAATTTGCAGTATTTGTTCAACAGCATCATGCATCTAATCCAACACACTAGGAATCATCCCAAGAGAAGGAAAACAACCAAAGCTCAGGCAGGTTGAGTAGCTTGTTTGAAGTCTTGTCAGCAGTGATCACAAGCAGCAGGCCCAGGACACCATTCCTAATCTTAGCTCTGTCTCTAAAATTGTGCCCCTTTTCTGGAGACCAGGCGACCAGTTGGCTTTATCCAACACGCATCAAGAGAAGCACTTCAGGTATTTTAAATGACCCTTTTAAATATTTTAAATGCTGATTTAACTCTTTTCATAGAGACATGGGCAGGTTCACTTGGAAAAGGAGATGGTGTTGAGCAGATCCAGAGAAAGGTGCAGCTGCAGGGGGCTCTGGTTCTGGTCCAGCAGGTGAGGCTGAGCAGGTATTTGCAAGGAGGATGAAAGCCTGTTTTCACTAGCACCTCAAAGGGAGGCAAGTGTGGACTTCACTTAGCAACAGGGCTTCAATGTGGCTTGGTAGTTGTGACGAGTGTACAATAGTAAAGTAAGATGTAAGCAACACTCTGTGCTGTCCTTGGAGCTTTTCTGAAAGGAAGAAAAGGGAGACAGAAGGAGGGAGGAAAGGAGTTAGGGTGAGAGTGGAGGAAGGTAAGAAAGAGGAATAGGAGAAGGAAGGGCAGGAGATAAAGAGGAAGGTAGGAAGGGAAAAGAAAAAGCCCCCAGCCCCTTCTCTGTTGCTTACCTCTTCATAGGGATGCTCCCGGCTGGGTCTTTCTTTTGGAAAGGATAAATCTAGAAAGTCAACTAAGTAGTCATAGCCTCCAGGAAGAGGGGTGAAGTCGTCATCTGTTTCAATCATCTGTACAAATGACAACATGATGAATGGAAGAATGTCAGTGAGGGGGTCAAAGTCTAAGTCTGAGACCATGAGACCCAAATGTTCCTAAAGGACAGCACTGTGTTGCAATTTTGAACAGTCTCTCTCCTCTCCCCACAACCCCACTCCCTTCTGAACAGTCCCTGAATTTTCAAGGAGGGACTGTTGATCCCACTGTCAAGTCTGTTCTCTGCTTGCCATTTTGCAGAGCTTTATGAATGCTCATTGAAATTGGAAAATATGCAGGGGTGTCCTATATTTCTATGAAACAGAAGGAAGGAACAAACATTGAACTGCATACCCTGACCACCAGGTTATAATTCTTAAATCCAGCCCAAGTGAAATATTCTTTTATCCAGGATGAGTGAAGGAAGATTTCATCTCCTACAGCAGCGTTCAAGGCGTTCAGATAGGGCCCAAAATCCCAAGAATCCTTGTAAATCTTAGTCCCTTCAGGAGGCTCTATGATGCCCTTGCTTAAAGACATAAGGGTGAGAAAACAGTGAAAGAAAAATACAACAAATAATGAAATCAAAGTTAGCTCTCACATAGCAAAGGTCAGTAAGCTGGTGGCTTCGAGGTGCTAACACAATCCTGGGGGCCCCATGTTAGCCTCAGCCAGACGGGGTCCCATACGTGGCTGAGTCATGCATTTCTAAGTCAGATATCACTTGAAGAAAAAAAGTCCATGTCTGGGAGAAATACCATTCCTCTGTACCTCTTTGGTTTATTATCTTATTATTTTTTATTTTTATTTTTTGGGAGAACTGGGGATTGAACTCAGACCCTTGTGCTTGCCAAGGAAACACTTATTCTACTGAGCCATCTCTCTGGCCCCATCTCTTTGGTCTAAATTATGAAAATGTTGACCATGGTTTGGTTGCACTGACTTTGTGTCTCCACATTCTTGCTTCCCCATCGGACTAGAAAAAAGTCTGATGAAAGTATGAAAGTAGCAACTATGACAGTATTCAGTAGATGCTCAATTGTAGCTGTTGAACATATACTGGCTTTAGCCTGTCTTTGAGGTATGTGTGAAATTTTGTGTGTGGGAGAATTGGTGCTCTAAGAGTGCTAATGCCGAGCTGACAGACAGGGGAGTGATTTTATCTCAAACTGAGCCAGCAAGGTGGTCAGCTGAGCTCAGTCCTGAAGCTCTGTGCATCCTGTGTGAGGATGGAGCTCTGCGTGGAGAGTGGACTCTGAGATCCTGGGCACTGCACGAGTTGGGGCTGCGCAGGGGAGACACAGGCAGAGAATCGGGCACCTATTTCGTGAAGATGAGGCAGCAGGGCAGAGGCCCTCTTCTCAAAAGAACACCTTCAGTAGGCTGAACGTGTTCTCAAAAGAACACCCAGAGCTACAGAGGCACAGGTTTGTGCAACAAGTCCTTTACCAAATCCCAAGGCCTCTCACGCTGAGGTGGACCTCAGCCTTTCCCCTCCTTGTGAGTCTCAGCTCAGAGCCTCACTGATCTCTTCCTGTACACAGCTTCTGCCTCCTGACTCCAGCTGTCCCCCACTGTAGCCTCTTCCCCAACGTGTTCTCTGCACAGCCTGAGTCGCTTTTCTAAAACACAGGCAATTCTGGACTGAGCTGTCCTGTCCCCTGTTCCCTCACAAGGCAGGTGCATGCATAGTCACTGTTTGTCCCTGCACTGTGTGTGGGTACTGCAATCCAGCAAAGGCAGTTCTTCCTTCCCAGCATGCTTTGATGTGCTGGAAGGACACAAATGCAGATTCTGGAGTTCAGTCTCAGATCTACTAACTGCGTCTCTGAGGGGAGCCCAAGGGTCTGCACTTAGGAAAGTCCTGACCGCTATTCCGACAGTCACAGACTCTGAGAGTTAACTGCTACCAGATAGATCTGGAGGGCAGAGGAGAGAGTTTTGGAGATGTACACAATTCTCTTGAAGGCCCCCTTATAATTGAAATGATTAAAAACATTTTTGCTCTTAACCTGTAAGCATTGCAGCATCTAAAAGGATCTGAGTCAAAATAGGAAAAGGAATAGTTTTGTAACTTAGAAAGCATCTCGTTCAGTGCAACGTGCTTACGTATTTTCTATGCTATTCTTTCGTTTTAATGCAGGGCTGGTTGTGAGCAGTGACTGTGACATTGCAGTCTGACCATGATTGGGATCCGCAGACCCACAGTGTCAGGCTGCAGGCTGCTCCGTGGGTCAGGAGGAGCACACAGGGTCAAAGGCCACTGCGTGATGCCGGCAAGAAATTGTACAGGGTGGAGTTGAGGCCAGGCAGGGAAGAGTAAAGGGCTTGAGACAGATTCATGGAGGAGAATTGAGCAGGTTGGATAACTAGCTTGTTATGGGAAGTCAGCAAAAGGGTAGAGTCGGCCGATGCCTTTCATGGAAACTTGGAAAGGAAAGGCTGGGAAGCGGCACACACTATGTGACAGTGTGGTTTATGTCTAAGGTGAAGAAAGGGCTCCATTTGGCTTGAGACAAATAATTACAAAAATGTAGAGGGTCTAATGTCAACACTTCTTGGATTGCATCCCAGTGCAGTCCGACCCATTCTCAGGTAGTATTTCTAGAAATGGCAATTAGTAGTGTTTGCAATGGTGTGAGAACTTTCTTACTGCTTTTGACTTACATGCACATGCATGTATTTGGAGCTGCATCAGTGGCCCTTAATATACACAGATAAAAACTTATTAATAATAGGAAAGAACTTACTTTTTACTCTCTAGTAAGGTTCTGAGATGAGGAAAATGTTTGAGTAATTATTGTATAGGGTGAAAAGCTTGGGAAAGAAACTGTCTCACTCTAGCTTTAAAAAATATTTATTAGAGTTATTTTATTTAAGTAATAAGACTTCTATTTAATAACCTGATGGGTGAATCTTTCTGAGTAAGAAGCTTAGTGTACTATGTGACAAAATTTAAGATGACTATAAAATAGGGACCTGTCAGGAGACCAGAAGTGAGCTCTCTATTTTCTCATACTATTGCAAATATTTATACAGCATTCTTATCCTCTGTACATATGTAAAGCAAACCTGTCTGTTGGATCTTTCAGCATCCTGCCTAGGTCAAGTGTGGCTCCAGGTCGAGGGGTCCATGTGACTATATCTGAGTTTTTCCTGATAAGATTGTTGAGCTGATTCGGGTCATTTTTGGTGTTTGTTTCTTTGATGTACCTGGGAAGTAAGAAGAATCCCACATAAGAAAGTTGATTCTCAGAGGCATACTCTGGTGACTACAACGGCAGATTTTTTTGTTCTCTATGTTCCATTTCCCAACACCCCTCTTCTCACATCATGGAGAATAAGACCATACTTTATGCCTTGATGTGGTTCAGAGACACAAACAACAGGGCTACATTGGAGCTAATGTCCTTAATGAGAAAAATTACCTCACAAAGAAGTTATGCATGTCCTAGTGATTTGATTTGAAACTGTCTCATTGCTATCTGTTTATCAATAAAATTATGAAAAAAAGAAAGAAAGAAAGAAAGAAGTTGTGCAGATCTTTTGTCTCTAAGCATAATCATATAGTGTCTAGAATTAACATGCTGTGTCCCAAGACTACTATAATTACTTGGAAATTGTACTCTTGTATTTAATAGTAAACATACCAGCTGATTAAATATTATTGGGCAACCATTATACAGCGGTCTTAACATGAATACATTGCTTTTATTTCACAAGTATGCCATGAGACGGCTGCCACTACTGTGCACATGCTAAAAGAGACCAGGTGTCTTGCCAGAGGCCACCCCACTGACAGGAAGTCCAGCCCCAGCTCTTTACCAGCCGGGGGCTCAGCCTTTACAGGAAGCCACAGGTAGGAGGCCTGCCCCAACTTTGGAAGTAAGTCTGAGAATTCTCTGCATTAAAAACCATTAAAAAAAATCTACCAATTACAAAAGAACACACACAACCCATTCTGAGATCTAATATTTAACTGTGCTACTGATCAGAGGTAAGTGTCTCCCAAACAACTGCCTTTCTCAGAAAGCTGTAAGATGTCTAATTCTGTGTCAAACTGGCAGGTGAATGGGTGGGCAGGGACAGGAAAAGGGAGAAGCAAAGAAGGTAGATTTGTCAGTATCACTTATCTGGCATAGTTTATCTAGAGAGACATTTATGTTAAAGGCAATTCTACTTTCTTAGCCTACAGTTTGGCTTCCCAGACTTGATATTTTGGTCAGATGGACAAAACATATAATCTGATCAAACTATGTGGTAAAAGTAGAAACTGTAAAAAGTTTCCTTCAGTAAGAGACATAGTTGTTATTAATCCTCCAACAAATATAATCCCTCACTTCAAACATATTTATTCCGTTATTCTTCTCATTTTCTGAAGAAGTTTGGGAAGTCTTCTTTCCTGTCTTCATGAGGTGTGCTAAAAAAACCAGGGTGAATGCTGCCTCTAAAGGCTATCCCACAGGAAGGCAGGCTCGTGAAACTATGACAGTGGCTCCATCTGCCTTATTCATCTGACCTGGCACCTTGCAACTTCTGGGTCTTCCTGAAATCAAACACTGTGAAAGGTAAATATTTTGAATCCATTCAGAGTATGGAGGCTACGAGGATATCGCAAGTAAAGACACTCATAAAAAAGAACTTCCAGACTGCTTCAGAAAGCAGCAAGAGGGCCAGGGAGATGGCTCAGTAGGATAAGCGCTTGACTGGCAAACGCAAGGATCTGAGTTCAATCCCCGGTTCCGCAAAAAAAAAAAAAAAAAAGCAAGAAGCAAGAATGATGAACTGGATGTGTTAGAAGTGAGGGGAGAGTATTTTGAGGGGATTACTGTGTCTTTACTGTAATAATTCTCTATAATTTAAACATTCACCATAGCTTTCAGTCACACCTCAAAAATAAATACCTGCATTTCTACAGCACTAAATGATGAACATTACTCATGACCTTGGAATTAATTTTGCAGACACAAGTGAGGACATTGTTGTTGCACCTAAAAATGTTGGTATCTTTTCCCTTCTTGCTCATGTTATTGTCCTGTTTGTCGCAACATTTTCTTTAAAGTAGGGCCATCACTTTTTCTCATCTTCTTTTTTTAAATTTTTTTTAATTTTATTTATTTATTTATTTATTTATTTATATTGTGTGTGTGTGTGTGTGTGTGTGTGTGTGTGGCCAGCTCAGCCCACCGGGGGCAGGGCTGGCTGGCATGTGGT